GGGGGGGGGAGGCACCTTGGCCAGAGAAGGGGCTCTGGGGGACTACGGGGGGGGGAGCTTCCTTCTCTGGGCACACGTTTGCCACCTTCACTCCCACCACCCTCCGTGGCAAAGCTCCTGGGGCTGGAAGAGGATGCGGAGTTTCACACGCCCCAAGGCGGAAAGCGACAGGTCCCATTGGGCCACTGGATTCTGGGGGGGGGAGCCCATCCACCACCACCAGAAGAAGAAGAAGAGATTGGATGTGTACCCCATGGCCCTTCACTACCCAAGGGAGCCTCAGAGCGGCTGACAGACTCCTTTCCCTTCCCCTCCCCACAACAGACACCCGGGGAGGCAGGTGGGGCGGAGAGAGCTCTGACAGAAACGGCTCTTTTCCAAGGACAGCTCTTGTCAGAACTATGGCTTGCCCTAGGTCATCCAGCAGCTGCAAGTGGAGGAGGAGAGGGGAATCAAACCTGGTTCTCCCAGGTTAGAGTCCGCGCACTTCACCACCACACCAAACTGGCTCTGAATCATTACTTTTACAAGGGTGTAAAAGTAATGATTCGGGGGCAATATTCCACACGACTGCCTTGAGTCCCAGAGAGCACCTGGCCCTTTGTGTGGTGAAATGTCTTGAAGGCTGTGGAGAGTCCTGTGTGCAAAAATTCTGCTTTGTGAGCTACCGGCACTAAAGTTGTGAGCCAGCGATTGGGCTGCTGCATGAATCAGTTTGCTCTGGAGCCCTCCCTTCCTGAGCTAGGACAGAAATGTGTGAGCTAGAGGCTAAGAAACTGTGAGCTAGCTCACACTAGCTCAGCTAAGAGGGAAGACTGGTCCCCACCCCACCCCCACCCCCATTCAGAGCCTCTGCTCTCCCCCCCCCCATAGGTGCACACCTGGGGAAAGGTGAGGCACCCTCCATGTGCTCCAGAGGCAGGGGGGAGGGGTCACTCCCAAAGGGTGCTCGGTTCCTGCCCCGAGAGGCTCAGTTTGCTGTGGAAGCCACAAGCTCCTGCACGTTCCTTCTGGCATGCAAGGCTGGCATCTGATGGTCAGTCTGCACATGGCCAGAGGCACTCACGCTTGGATCTGAGCAGGGGCTCTGGCAGCCCAACCCAGTTGGGCCCTTGAGATCAGATTTCAAAGAGTTCCCCGTTTGGTCTCAATTCAGAACCCAACTGTGATCTGCTTCAAGATGACCCCTCCCTCCCCAATATCAACTCACACTGCCGGGAGGGGTGGTGGCGATGTCAAATACAAAAGGCCAGTTGCACGGGCAGGTGCATATTGGCTCCAAAACCTCAGCAAGGCGGTCCGGTGGTGAACACCCTCCCCTGGCATTTGGCAGGCGGGTGGCTCTTATTCAACGGAGGCGGGCAAATGGACTGGCACCTGGCCACCATTCCTGGCCAGATCGGTTGTGCCCATCTCCGGGAGGGAGGCTTGAGGGCCCAACGCTCCCTCTAAGCTGTGGAGTCTTGTGAGCAAAAACTCTACTTTGTGAGCTCCTGGCATTAAAGTTGTGAGACAGCCATTCGGCTACTGCATAAATCAGTTTGCTCTGGAGCCCCATCCTTCCTGGGCGAAGACAAAAATGTGTGAGCCGGAGGCTAGAAAACTGTGAGCTGGCTCACACTCACTCAGCTTAGAGGGGACACTCCTTGAGGCAGACACGATGGCTGCCGTCACACACACACACCACATAGTCCACTTCCAAACCGCTTTCCAACTCGATTTTGCCAGTTCGCACAGTAAGATCCAGTTGGAAAGTGCACTGACAGTGGATTACTTGGTGTGTGTGTGACCGCGGCCTATGTCGTGGAGCCCTTCCCACCCTCACAGCCACACACACAGCCCAGACGCAGCAAAGGGCTCCCGTGTTCGCATCCTGGGGTGCGCAGCCATTTCAGCTGCTTTCTCAGAAGGATGGCTGGCATGCCTGCCCACCCACCCCGGCCCTGGAGGATGCAGAACAGAAGAGTGCTCTTTCCGTTTCCCTTCCATGCCTCCAGGGCTACCAGAGTGGGGCTTTGCCTGTCAGGGTAACTCGAGCTCAGGGGGGAGGCAAAAACGCTAAGAAGGGAGACACCCGAAGGGGCTTCAGGTGCAGCGGAGCGTGTTCTTGGAGTGCCAGCGACGAAGGCAGAGCCAGAGGTGAGCGGCGCCTGCTCAGGGCTCCCTCTAAGCTGAGTTAGCGTGAGCCAGCTCACAGTTTTTTAAGCCTCCGGCTCACACATTTCTGTCTTTGCTCAGGAAGGAGGGGGCTCCAGGGCAAAGTCATTGATGCAGCAGCCAAATCGCTCGCCCACCACTTTAATGCCAGGAGGAGCTCACAAAACAGAATTTTTGCTCACAAGACTCTCCACAGCGGAGAGGGAGCCTCGGGTCCTGTTCCGGGTCTCCTCTCTGGACTCTGCCACAGCCCTCCAAGGGGGTTCAGTCACTGGATTGGAATGGCACCCCTCCCGGTCCTGTGGAGGTCCATGCCAACCCCGGGGGGTGGGGGGTTGGAATAGCAGACTTCCAAGGATATTTTAGGCGAGGAGCTGACTTCACGCCCGGCCTAGGCTCCCTCGGAATCCTGCGCCAAGGAGTAGGTGGGCTCCGGAGGCATCTCAGCAATGCTGAAGGACCAGAACAGGCTGCCGCTTACGGTGCCCTCCTCCTTCCCACACCGGGCGAGGCCAGCCAACCAGGGCACACTCGACAGTGGCGGGGGGGGGTAGGAGGAGGCAAGGGTGGCACTTCCCCTGCCCCACGCACCAGTCAGCGACTGAGGAGGTGGAGGATGCTGCTTCAGGGGCGGGCAACTCTGGAGAAGCAGGGGGAACGCTCCATGAGGAGTCCGGGGGCGCCTGTCAGTAGCAGACGGCGACCCCCTGAAGACGTGAGCCAGTCTCTCTTGCTCTTTTGCAGGCATTCTGGGTCAGGTAGCTTCCATTGCCAAGCCCCTGGCTGCAGCCCCCGGGGGCTCAAAACACCCCGGGCCTTCCCTTTCCCGTCAGCTCACGCAGCACAAGGACTGGGGGATCTTTTGGCCACTGCAAAGCCCCAAGCCAAAGAGAGAGCCGAAAGGAAGCCATGGCGCCCCCGCCTCTCACTCGACCGCCGGGCTGCCCCCCAGCCAGGAGAAGCAGCTGACAACTATACCCCAGCCTAGGCTGCCTCTCTGGGGGCCCTCTCCCGTACGCGGCTGGGGTCTCTCGCGCAGCGGATGTGCGTCCTCCAGGTTTGGGCAGGGCTCCAGAACCCTCCAGGTGCTGCCTCTGTCGACATTCAGGAGGCCCTTGGAGTAGGGCTGCCATGTCTGCGCTGGAAACAATGCTCAGCTGTGGAGTCTGGTGAGCAAAAATTCTACTCTGTGAGCTACTGGCAGGAAAGTTGAGCCAGCGATTTGGCTGCTGCGTAAATTAGTTTGCTCTGGAGCCCTCCTTCCTGAGCTAAAGCAAAAATCCATGAGCCGGAGGCTAAAAAACTGTGAGCTAGCTCACACTCACTTGGCTTAGAGAGAAAGAGGTACTTTTCTCCCTTTCTCACAATACAAGAACTCGTGGGCACTCCATGAAACTGCAGAGCGGTCGGGTTAGAACGGATAAAAGGAAGTCCTTCTTCACCCAAAGAGTGATTAACACGGGCAAGGGATGCTCTGTATTCTTGGTGCTTGGGGGGGGGTCAACAGTGGGAGGGCTCCTGGTGTCCTGGCCCCACTGGTGGACCTCCTGATGGCCCCTGGTATTTCTGGCCCCTGTGTGACACAGAGTGTTGGACTGGATGGGCCTTTGGCCTGATCCAACATTGGCATCTCTTATGTTCTTATGTTCTTAACACTGTTTGGAAAATAGCTGGAGACTTTGGGGGTGGAGCCAGGAGAGGGCGGGGTTTGGGGAGGGGAGGGGCCTCAGCGTGGTCCAAGGCCACAGAGCCCACCCTTCCAAGCAGCCGTTTTCTCCAGGGGAGCTGATCTCGGTCAGTCGGAGATCGGTTCTAAAAGCGGGAGATCCCCAGGCCCCACCTGGAGGCTGGCAACCCTAGATCTTGGAGGCAGTTTTACTCAGGACAGCATCTGACTAATGGAGCATTTCTTTCTTGGCTGTCCGGATTGGAGAGTTTAATTGCGGGGGGGTTCAGATTTTTTAAAATCCTTGCCATATTTGCACCGCACGTCGCCTTGGGTTCCTGAAGGTGGGAAGGCGGCTTGGCCACGTTTCAGACACATGGATCCTTCCCAAGAGCAGAGGCAGGCGTGAGCCCAGGCTGGATCAGGAGGACAGCAAAGCCCCCCCACCTCCCCCCCCCAGCCTCTTAATCCTCTCCCTGGCTGGGGGGGGGGGGGTCTGGGGAAGGC